GAGTGTCCCATAAGAGTGACACACAAGAGCGCCCCACAAGAGTGTCCTACAAGAGTGTCCCACAAGAGTTTCCTACAAGAGTGTCTCACAAGAGTGTCCTACGAGAGTGTCCCACAAGAGTGTCCTACAAGAGTGTCCCACAAGAGTGTTCCACAAGAGTGTCCTATAACAGTGTCCCAAGAGTGTCCTACAAGAGTGTCCTACAAGAGTGTCCTACAAGAGTGTCCCACAAGAGTGTCCTACAAGAGTGTCCCACAAGAGTTTCCTACAAGAGTGTCCTATAAGAGTGTCCCACAAGAGTGTCCCACAAGAGTGTCTCACAAGAGTGTCCCACAAGAGTGTCCCACAAGAGTGTCTCACAAGAGTGTCCCACAAGAGTGTCCTACAAGAGTGTCCCACAAGAGTGTCCTACAAGAGTGTCCCACAATAGTGTCTCACAAGAGTGTCCCACAAGAGTTTCCTACAAGAGTGTCCCACAAGAGTGTCCCACAAGAGTTTCCTACAAGAGTGTCCCACAAGAGTTTCGTACAAGCGTGTCCCACAAGAGTGTCCTACAAGAGTGCCCCACAAGAGTGTCTTACAAGAGTGTCCGACAAGAGTTTCCTACAAGAGTGTCCTACAACAGTGTCCCACAAGAGTGTCCCACAAGAGTGTCTCACAAGAGTGTCCCACAAGAGTGTCCTACAAGAGTGTCTCACAAGAGTGTCCCGCATGTCCCACAAGAGTGTCCTACAAGAGTGTCCCACAAGAGTGTCCCGTATGAGTGTCCCACAAGAGTGTCCGACAAGAGTGTCCCATAAGAGTGACCCACAAGAGTGTCCTACAAGAATGTGCAACAAGAGTGTCCCGTAAGAGTGTCCCACAAGAGTGTCCTACAAGAGTGTCCCACAAGAGTGTCCTACAAGAGCGTCCCGTAAGAGTGTCTCACAAGAGTGTCCCACAAGAGTGTCCCGCAACCGTGTCCCACAAGAGTGTCTCACAAGAGTTAAGAGTGTCTCACAAGAGTGTCCCACAAGAGTGTCCTACAAGAGTGTCCCACAAGAGTGTCCTACAAGAGTGTCCCACAAGAGTGTCCCACAAGAGTGTCCTATAAGAGTGTCCCACAAGAGTGTCCTACAAGAGTGTCCCACAAGAGTGTGCTACAAGAGTGTCCCACAAGAGTGTCCTACAAGAGTGTCCCACAAGAGTTTCCGACAAGAGTGTCCTACAAGAGTGTCCTACAAGAGTGTCCCACAAGAGTGTTCTACAAGAGTGTCTCACAAGAGTGTCCTACAAGAGTGTCGTGTAAGAGTGTCCCACAAGAGTGTCCTGCAAGTGACCCACAAGAGTGTTCTACAAGAGTGTCTCACAAGAGTGTCCCACAAGAGTGTCCCACAAGAGTGTCCCACAAGAGTGTCCCACAAGAGTGTCCTACAAGAGTGTCCCACAAGAGTTTCCGACAAGAGTGTCCTACAAGAGTGTCCTACAAGAGTGTCATTTGGACATATTATGTTTTCGATCGTGTTTGCATTCGGGTTCGTGGGTTCCATCTTGTTTTGCTTGTTTTTGACGTTTTCTTAAATTTAGAAAACAGGCTCTTTCCAATGAAGGATTTTTATAAGGCTAATGCAAAACAGCGTTTAACAGTTCAAATGCGCTGACCACCTCGCCTTGCTGTTCCCTCATTCATTTCCTTGTGGATTATGATATCGAATGAACCTTTATCTAAGTGTGTGCATGTACTACATGTTTGTTTGTGTATGTTTGGGGTATTGCCATTGCACCAGTTTTTGTCTACACAGCCGACAACAACAAATGCTCCTCTCTCAGGAGCACCTCACCGGGGGAGATGCTCCTGACGTCACAAAAAAAGGACTTCTTTTTGACAAGCTCTTCTCGGTGGCCTCAAACAAAAAGCATCAAACTCCGTAGCACCATCTCCTGGAGGCAAAATATCCACGCCCCCTCTCACCACCTCGAGGCAAACAATCAATCAGAATCACAATCTGTCAATCAGCAAACCGTAACACAAATGAAAAAGGCTCCTCCAACCGCCTTCGTCCCAAAAAGGCTCCAACCGACTGACCTCCACAGACCGAATTCGCGCGACCCATGGACCTTCGTCGTAGACGACCAGCTTGTCGCTTACAAAGGTCTTGGGCCTGGTCCACGGCGCTGATCACATGGCGCGCCGCGTGCGTTCGGCGACAGGTTCCGATGTGCCAGGGTTTCCACCAGTTCGGGTGGAAAGAAGCAAGCACAGCTGCCGTTTGCGCTGTCAAGAAGTGGGAAATAGGTGATTTTCCAAGCCTTGTCCATTCTAGAATTACCATGGGGTAGATTGCCAGTTTTTGAGGACCAGTCTGCAACCCCCAAAAAAGGATCGACGAACATCCACTGCATCACAACTGAATATGACGATGTTGAGGTATGTTGAGCTGTTGCGGCTCCAGGCTCACTTGGCGTCAGCCCAGCGGCCATCGCCCGCATGTGCGCGTGAACCTCATGTTTGACAGCAGACGGCCTTTGATTGGAAGGAGTCAGTCAGAACTTTACTTCCGGCAAATGATCTCTGAAAAATTACCAAATGTCAACGACTCACATGTGATCCTCCAAGCACTGTCGAGCTACCAGCACTGCTAACCTCGGACACGGTCGAGTCTTTCCAACTGATTAAAGACAGAATCATGACCTCGCCTGCTGCAAGTGAAGGGCTGAAAAAATGCAAGGATCACTTGGGCCCCTATCACATCAATCTCGTATGAGTCCAAGAAGGGAAGCAAAGAGAAACTTGAGGCCAAGGGGGGGGGGCGAAAGCTAGCGCTCCAGAATGGGAAAGTGGAGGGCAGCGAGGTAGGAAAAAACACGGCGCTCTTTTTGGAGGCAGTCGCACGGAGTAGCAGAAGGCAGGACGCCTTGCACAAGTTGGGCGGGGCAAACGATTCCAGGTGAAGAGTCCTTTATATGTGGCTCTTTGCCCGGATCCTCCTGCGAGAGAAGAGAGAGAAGAGAGACGGAAAGACGAGAGACAGAGAGGAGAGAGAGAGAGAGAGGAGAGAGAGATGAAGTGAGAGTGAGAGTGAGAGTGAGAGTGAGAGTGAGAGTGAGAATGAGAGTGAGAGTGAGAGTGAGAGTGAGAGTGAGCGAGTGCGGCCGCAAGATACGCAACGCTAACCGCATGCCAAAGAGCGACGACAGGACGGAGTCGAACTTGCGAAGAGGGAGGAGGGAGGGAAGGTGGGAGGAAGACAGTTTCAGCCACCTCGTGTGCACCTCAACCCGGACCAACGGTCGTCTTAGGTGAGATCTGCTGTCCGTCGTCTTCCACTTCAAGGATCTCAAGTTGGAGGTGATGCGGCTCCGACCGACCAATGGAGCTACACTCCCAAGTGAAGAGTCCTTTATATGTGGCTCTTTGCCCGGATCCTCCTGCGAGAGAAGAGAGAGAAGAGAGACGGAAAGACGAGAGACAGAGAGGAGAGAGAGAGAGAGAGGAGAGAGAGATGAGAGAGAGATGAGAAAGAGATGAGGGAGAGATGAGAGAGATGATGAGAGAGAGATGAGAGAGAGAGATGAGAGAGAGAGAGAGAGACAGTGAGAGTGTGAGAGTGAGTGAGGGGGGGGGGGGGGGGGGGGGCTTCGACCTGAAAAATCAGGGGTTAGGATTTGCACCCGATCGAAAGAAACCTTGCTATCGCAAGAGTAACTCCAGCTAGCTTCGCTAGCTTTCGTGACTTAAAAACAAGCCAGAGGAAAAGGGGTTGCCAGGTGAAACTTGTTTGGTTGGTGGTGTCTTCCAAAGGTCAACACATGCAAAGCAATGTTCCATCCAGACACCCCTGCCTCGCTGCACTCATGTCCGGCTGGGCCTTCCGAAAATTCCCGAGCCAGTACACATCTACGATTCTGCAAAGTAATTGTGCATTGTTAAGTCTCACGCACCAAAACCCCTCCACCGCAGAGAGCCTGTGAACTGCCTTTGGCACCAACTTCTCATGCCATGCTACTCTGGTTCTGACCCTCATTGTCGGCAGACTGGCAGACTGGGTCACTTTAGGACATTGAACGACAAACGACCCACCTTGACAGCGTCCAACAGGCAGGAGATGAAGTTCTCTAGCCTGGAGAAGGGAAAGACCCAGGCTTAAATAGCACGTTTGAAAGGTCTTGGGCTGACAAAAACACCTCAGGCTCCATCTCCCTCCCGCGAAAATGAGCCGCGCCATTTTGCTGACATCGAGTCTTGAGTTCCTCGGCCTGCTACCATTGAAGATGTTGACACTGCTAAGTCTCGCAGTACAGAGTAACCTTTGGGTACAGGCTGCACAGCTCAAGAGAACACGGACATTATTGGGACATGTTAGGACTGTCATTCAGAGAACCGTTTCCCAAAGAATTGTATTGTTAATCATTATTGATCGATGACTTCTTGATGTTGAATTCGTGCAGTCATTGTATGACAGTCCTTTTGTTCAAAAGATGAAAAATTTGGCGAGTCCCATGGAGATCTCCAATCCCCTCACTGAGCGAGGGCCCAGCATAGTCCAGCCGCACCAAAGGCCACCACCACCGCAGGCACATTCACCTTCACGACCCCGTCACTCGGTCACTCATATGCCAGGAGAAATTCTTCAAAGGTTTTAAGGTCTTCAATATTTGACAATTACAGGCAACTGGAAACGCAAATGCGCAGCAAACGCGCAGCAAACGCGCACCTTACAAAGTTCGATGAAGTAGTACGCTAGGACAACCAAAGCTCTGCTGCCTGCTTGCCATGGACTTCGCTCCTCACCGATCGAAACATGGACTTCGCAACCGGTCGAAGCTTCGGTTTGAGAATTCACTTTCATGTGAGTCTGGAGACCCTCCAACCATGTCCAGTCTATTTGAGCCTCCCCTTTTGGGGAAGACTCACTTTGCTACTTATCAGGATCTACTGATGGGAGTACAGTAGAAAGCTTTGGCATACAAGGTCATGCAACTACAATGGCAAAATGACTTCAATAAGGCGCATCGTAGTTCTATCATTGCACGTCGGTCAGCTGGTATCGACCTGAAGAGTGTCATAGACCACGAACATGGTTGGTACCAGAAGACCCACAGCTGCTGCGTTGAGGCCTGGCTTCGGCTGAAAAGTCTCCAAGATTTCCCCAATCCATTCGGCTTGGGTCAAGGCACAAGCAACGCCATGAAAGCCACACCCGCAAAATGGGACCATCTATAGAAGCTTTGATCCAACCCCTTTTGGTTGACCGAAACGCATGGTCAGCCCTCGGTAGGGGCGTTTGCCCACTGTTGCTTTGGGCGTCTCGCGAGAGCAACCAACATACGGACGATAATTCTTTTTTGACAAGCCAACCAAAGCTGGGCTTGGCCACATTTAGAGCAGCACCCTACCTGGAAGGGCATGTTGATACAAGCGCTGCTTGCGGAGCTCCTGGCCAATGAAGTGGATGAGATCACTCCCAGAAGCTCATCAAGCTAAGTACCCACGATCCAAGGATCGCCCCAAAAAACATGCCTCTTGGAATCTCTGCCCACCACTCGATCTCAAGAGGCCCAACACTCGGTCACAAGAGGCATATTGGCCAAGGTGCATCCCAAAGTGTATAGGCACCAAAGATCAGTGTGATGCCCGGACCCATGAGGCCTGAGTCCAAAGTCTCGACTGTTTTAGTGAACGTCATCCCTTCTGCCTTCTCCCTAAAGGTCTTAGCACCATCAAAGGAACCTTCTGAAGCAACCCAGCAAGGATCCAGTAAGTTGGATCCAGACCCAACCTGTCTTAGAAGTACTCAAACAGGCAGAAAACGACATGATTGAAAAGGATGCCCTGTTCATTTAGGTGGTCTCTGTCCTCCACCGTGCACAATGAGACAACATTTTGCAACTTGGCCCGCCTGCCCAACAAACAGCAATACCAGGAAGCCAGTTCCAGCCACTGTTGATCGCAAGCTGAATGCCCAGGAAGCCTCGCGGCCATTCAAATTCAGCTCAAACCTGCATTGGAACTTAGCCCATGGTTGCCATCTCAAAAAGAAATCGACAGCTTCGGCCGCAAAGCAAGCAAAACAACTGGCCTGCAAAAAGATACCCCCCAAATGCCGCTGCTTAAAAAAAATAAATATATATATATATATTGTGTATATATATATATATTATGTATGTAATATATTATATACATACATGCATATTCCATGCGTTGTTGTCGCAGTTCCAAGCCACACGAGATATTGAAGACGGGCCCTGGCATCATCTCGGCAAAGGAGATGCCCGCCAGGAAGATCGTCGGGGAGATCCACTGAGGCGTCAAGAAGGTCATCAACATGGGGAGGACCACAGGCCCTCCACCCCACACGAACATACCTGGCGCAGGCCCTCAGAACTTCGTCTAAATTGGCATCCCGTTGACTTGGTGTCAGCATCGTCAGCGTTTGAGGGCCAAAACAAAAACAAGGCCATAGAGGCTGTTGGGTAGCTTTCAGGGATGCTTCCTTCCTGAAGCCATGTATGCCATGTATGCCATATTATTTGAATGTCTGGTCAAACCTTCCCAACCCTGCTGCAGCCTGCAGTAAGGAATGGCATGATCCATCCGTGGTCGAAGGTATCTCTCCAGATTGTGAAAGCAGCCACAATGACATACCTTGAGAAGTGAAGCAGGGACCCAGGAAACTGAAAAACCTTGCCATGTCAAGTCGCAGGAGAAAGATGCCAATGGCGAGAGAGACTGGCATACCTGGCACGTGAGGACTTATCTGTTTCAAGCCCTCCGAGTTTGACAATATCCTCACAGTGTCGACTAAACATAAAGACAAAGCACCTGATTTGCCAGTGTCGTTAGCATGCTTGACCTCTGAGTCTGGGGCAACCTCAGCTGTGTGGTGCTTCAACAGTTTCAGGCTAGTACAAGAAACACCCTTCTTTGATTTTGTTCCGGGCAGAACTTGGACTGGTGTCAGTGAATGCTTGTGCCAAGACTGCACTTGAAAATGGTATGGGCCGAGCTGCTGGAAAAAGGATGGTGATGAGCCCTCCCAAAAAAATAAGGCTTGGATTCAGCCATGCAGGCGCGGGATGCACCAATAAGCATGTTGCGCCAGTGAAGAAGCAAATCTCAGATATGTGTTCACCAAGTGCAACGAGGACAGGGGTGAGGATCAAAACCAGATCGGCTCACATTTCAAAACGAACTATGTAAGACTATATGTGGTGTAGGGATTTGTTTGGATTTGACCCGCACCCACAACAACTCCATTAAAAAGGCGCAAGCCTTGAGATCTTTGCAACGTCTCAATGGCACATAGTTTGAAGAAAAAATGAGATGTTCTTCTTGTAGCGAGCATCTGCACCAAGGGTCACCACGTTTCCCGCTTCAAACACCTGCTTCTTGATCAACCCGCTGATTGCAATGAAAACTAACCTCGTCAAGGGCTCAAACTCGCTGAAACCAAAAAACACACGTTTCTCCATCCAAACACTTTTGCACTTATATGAATACACATGCATATACTGGTACAATGGACATGACTACCCGACTACCCAAATCAACTTGTGATTTGCAGCTGCATCAACTGCAGCTTGCAAAGTGCATGTTCCCAGGGAAACACAAAAAGGTTCAAAATCAGACTGGCTCAAGTCAAGAAAACGCGACGCCCACAGCGCTGCAGGCAATAGCCTCAAACAGCACAATAGGAAAACCAAGTTAACCCGAATGGCGGAACAGGCCTTCCCACTCTCTGCAGAGCAAGTTGCAACAGCATTGGCCGGTGAAGCCGGTTCCTCAATCTGCTTCGACAATGATGATGACACCTCTGCCAACACACTGAATGAATGCCTTGCAAAACAGGCTTTCAATCGTTGGAAGACCGACACACAGCAAAAGGAAAAGAAAAGTACTTTCCACCCTAGGCCATGAGCCAATTCTCCATGTTCTTCAGATCTGCAAATCGCCTTCCGCTTCTTTCGCTGCCCTAAGGCCAACACGAAGCCCAGCAAGGGCAGCGTGATCCTTAGAGCCCGATCAACACCAAAACAACCACTACTAGAGTTCCCAACAGAGGTTGAAGGACCCTATAGACCATCCCATAGGTACCCCAGTAGGGTCCTATTTACGGTCACTTAACCTCTCTTGGTCCCCATGTGGACGGGGTTTCTTCTCGTCCATCCCCACACGGCGCCAAGCGTCGCTCCGGGGATAATGAAGCAGGCTCCAGCCAACAAACCGCCTTTGACTCCACCTGAAGGAATTGACTCCACCAGCCAACAAGCCCGTAGAGCAAGCCATCTGAAGAGATGAAGAAGAACTTACTTACATGGACGAAAGAGGAACAAGGCTGCTTTCTGTTGGGTGGTACTTTATCTCTTGAACCTCATCTTTCAGCATTGAAGTGGACAATCTTACATCACCCAGCCTTGGGTCATACCAATTGCAAAGGCAACCTGCGGCATGCTCTGTGCAATGTGGACACATTTGGCCAATCGACGGAGATCCTATCTGCTCCGTCTGCCCTCGGTTGCTGAGTCCCAGTCTGAACAGCCAAACATGGGAATGTGTTGACCTGCTGCTTAATCTCTTGTGAAATCAATGTCCCGAAGCTCTCGCACAATCCGAAATTCAAACGCACCTGAGTGCTTGAAGGTCCGGGGAGGCAATTGGCCATTGCAAAAAGCTCTGCAAATCTATCGCTGGAGAGCCATCCATACCTCATGGTGAGAGCCATCAAACGTGCGTTTCATGGATTTACATGTCTCATCGATCTCTGGAACTGGCTTCTAGTCTATGGAACGTCTCTCGCCATGTCAAGTCTCTCGATCGGTTCTGGAATACATTCGGGTCCCAATGTGCGAGTTGGGTGGCTTCTCAACGAAGCGTGACCGGAACATGCTGATGTGCACGGGTGGACCACCAAAGGCAGTAGCGCCCAGTACCTGGATGCAGATGTGCGTCTGAGCGATTTGGAAAGCCATCCATGTTGGGATAGCCTTGCTGTGGTCTCCACATAAAATCACAATGTCCATCTATACTGTATGAGAAACGAGGATAAACAACGAGCACCGGCAACATCGGCACGAACTGGAGCCCAGCCGGCCCAAAAGGGGTGCAACTGGCCATTACCAGTGCAGTGCCGGGGGAGGGTTGGGAGGAAATCTCGTGCTTGAGACAACTCGAAATAATTCAAAGACCACACACATCTCGCGGTCCACGATCCGCCCCTCAAAACCCTTCCACTAAGCGGGGTGCTAGAGGGCATGACTATATCACACAACCCAATGTGAAAAGAACGTGCAAACCACGACTCAATGAACTGGTATAAGACACAGAACATGAGCAAATGTGAATTAGCGGCTACGAAGCGTTCAATCAAGAGCCAATTCGTCGAGCGACTTCTTCAGGCGAATGAATTTCGAACTTTCTGGTATGTCGAGCACTAAAAATGGGTTCCTTCGGGAGATTAGGAAAGCTAAACGCATATTCATGGCACACAGGGGAAGGAAGTCGAACATTTAACGGGTATGACTGTTCAGGCAGGGCAGAGTATTCAGCGAGAAGCTTAATGGCAGCCGCAGAATTCGGCAGTTCAGGACGAGCTGCCATACCACCAACCAACGTGCGGTGGAAGCCTAATCGGACTAGAGACGACGCACAAGTTGTTTTTCTAGCGTGGGAACATACGGCATTGCATTGTCCCCTCAAGATAGCGAACAATACCACGCAAAGTGGATGCCTGATGGCACAGACCCCGAGCAGATTTTGGTTGAATCAAGGCCTCAGGTGAATCGAAAGCATAAGGCTTGAGAATTTTCGCCTTCGGATCATGAATCCAAAGTGGGAGACCTTGACCGGAGAACAAGATAAAATAAACTGCGAGCTCAATCCATGTGATTCCAAAATCACCAGGAGTTGTGGGTGCGTCCGGATGATGCCACCTCAATGATGCAAAGAAACACCAAACCCCATGGGCGATCTGAGCACCCGCATTACAGGCACTGGCGTGACACCCATTCAACAGCTCCCAATTCCCCCCGGTTGATGGACTGCGTACCCTTCACATGAGCTCCCTGAATGACAACGAAGTCATTAAGTGAGGGATCATCCGGCGTGACGGAGACATGTTGTACAACCGCCCAAGCAGCGCGGCAGCAGTTCAAATCTTTGGGGCGGTCACAGGAACCATCTGTATACAGGTGAAAATGCGCGAGATCTGCTACCGGTGGATGATCAATGAAAGGACCTGTGCGGAGGAGTCGTAAGCGGTTATACACAATCTGTTGAGAGTGTGTTGTTGCGGGGGGAAACCAGAGGAGATTAGGGTGTTCTTGTAAACACCAACTGCCTCTTGATGGTTATCACGAATGTGCTGAAAATGGGTGCAACAAACGATGAGCGTTTATGTCTTCCTGGCCGCAGAAAGGACAAGCAATTTCTTGTGTACTATCCCAGATGTGCTTGACAACACCGGTCTGAAAACCCCCTGTTATATTGAGTGCAATTAGTCGAAAAGTAGTAGCGGATAAGTGTTTCAGGACTTTGTGCTGAGTATACGCATCGAAAGGAACATCAATAACACCCTTGCGGTGGCTAACTTGGGACCACACAAAAGTGGGCCAGGCATTCACGAGTAGACTGGACTTGAAGGTCAACATGATGACCGCTGGGGGTCTCAATGCGACCACTAGGCAGGGGGATCCACATAACCTTATTGAGATATGCAGCCAGTGCACCACAGGGGCCTTTTACAGATGCGGAAGTCAGGAGAGAAGACTTGAGCTAAGTCAGGATGATAGTAGAATGAATAGGCGTCGAAAGGTGCAAACCGCACTAAGAATAAAGGATCAGAGACACGATCAGAGAGAAATGGAGGGCAATCCATGAGGAGGCAAATTTGTGTTTCCCAATACGGGCATCACATGCCAAGCGGCGCAATTTGACAAAATGGCTGTCCCCAATAACTTGACTCTCGGCACCATAAAAAGCCACAGGCCAAGTAGCTGTTTGAATTTTGGCGGCTTTTTCAGGTGGAGTTTACTCAGACGATACAAACACGTGGCAGCGGATGCCATGCGGGACTTGAGACAGCGAGTGACCCGACGTGTGCATCATGCATCAATCCTTGGAAGACTGCTTAACTTCAATTTCAATGTTAGCAATGGAAATAAAACATTCATATGGGACCAGAATGTGCGCATGGACAAATCTGTCCCCCACCCCCACGATTTAGGGATGTCAACTTTCATACGCAGCGCAGTGGTAAGATTTTAAGTGGCCACCGTTGCACGAAATAAGGCCCTTTGAGAGGTGGACATAAAAGTCCAATTATCAGCGTACATGAAAGGTTGGACTTGAATAAAGGACATCTTGTGGAAGAAGGCGGCAGCTATTACTAGCATGGCACAAACAGAAAGAGCGTCGCCCTCGGGAGCTCCAGTAGTTGAAAGAGATGGAGTGCCGCAGGCTTGTCGAATTTGTAAGAAGCGCCGCATGTTGTTCAGTGAACGGATCCAAAAACCTATGGCTTCGCTGGAGGCACCAAAGTGGATCAACAGCGACGAGGCTATCTGTCTGGGAATCAAGTTGATGACCACAGACCGTGTCCAGAAGCATGGTTCATAGTCTTCCGGGCTTTGCTTCACGCCACTCTGACGGTATCTCTGAGTCCAAGACGAGGAAGTTCCATGCCAGTGTTCCAAGCGATGGGGACGAGCCAGCCGGCAACAGCGTTTCCTCAGGAACCGGATCTCTGCCAAGAAATGTGAGTGGGTTGTTTGCTCAACTCTGGCACTTAGCGTCCCGAGTTCCACCTGGGTTTGTCGAGGCCAAGGTGTTTTTGGGACAGGTGAGTGAGTTCTTCTGCAGCCAAGAAACCTTCATGACCACTGGGCCGCTTTAGAGCAGCAGGATGCAATAAAACAATGCTGTGAGCCCAATGGCCACGGTGGTCGCCCCCAAAGATACTGAGAGATCGTGATGGCTGCACCGGGTGGCATGGTGCTTCCTCGGAGGTTCGGTGTTTTCATTGAATGAACACTTGGGTTCAAAAGAGGCTTCTTCTCATTTAGGCACACTAGTTACTACGACATCTGCGACGGCACCGGCGCAGCTTGGGGCGACGGCCTCTTCCACCCTGCTAGATCAGCTTGCTGCAACCGCTTCACTGCTTCGACCTGAGCAGCACGTTGAGTACCACGATGTTTTTCGACAAAGGGACACGGCCACCGCGACGGGATCGATCTTTCGTTTTGCACCGTGTCACCACAAGTCTCTTCCTTTACAATGGGGTTGTATTCTGTGCATCTAAAGGAATTAATGCGAATGGCTGTACACTTCGCAATTGCGATGGCCAGCGCTTTTGGCGTAGCACAAAAGTCTTTGAAAACCTGGGCTGAACTAGAGTCACCCGCTTCTGGCTGCTTAAATGAGGCACAGGGCCACAACTGAGAGAGTCAGCACGGATGGCCAATGTGCCAAAGCTCCAGACGCAACAACAGAGTCGACCGATGCAGGCCCACCCTGGCCATTGCAATACTGGCAAGAGCTTCGTGGCACGTATTTGCAAACTCCACAGTTCACCAATTCAGGCCCTCCTCCTCCACTCCAGGCTCCGGCAGCACCTCCCACGTTGTAGGTCTTCGTCACCCTTGCCTTGCCACCCATGCCATTGCAATAGTCGCATGTGCCCTTGGGCACACAAACGCAGACCCCGCAATCGTGACACTCGGCCAAGTTGCGTGCCGTGGCGTTCGAGAGTGTATTTTACAGGATCAGCTCTAATAGTACTAACTACCTAGCTAACCCTGCTAGTCCGGTAAGCGCTACCTTTTGCTCTACCTTGAGAGTCAACGCTACGGGGTCCATGGGGATGAGGTGAATTTCAACACCCCCCTTTACAAGGAGCTACCCGTAGGGAAAATCTCGGGGAGGATCAAATTCTAGCGACGAAGGAATCATATTAGAAATCCCTCATCAAGCTCGTGCATGCACTATACAAGGAGAACGTAGCTACCCTAATGTACAGTTTTCGCCTCACTCGGCATGTGGTTAAACATGCTAGGCCCAGGTTAGTGTTAAGCATTGATTAAAAGTTCACTCTCCGACTATGGCAATCCTGTTATGGATGCATTGGGAAGTGAGACAATGAAGTGAAACATCATCTCACAGCGCGTCAGAAGGTGATCTTTATCTCAACACTCACAAGCTGCAAGGCATACCATTTATGGTAGCTATTCAACATCTGCTTAAAGAAATTGTATTCCAAAACGCTCCGTCTCGTCATGCCATCCCTGCCTCAACCACTCCCACAATTCCATGTGATTGGGCCAATAGTTCTCGCCCCATGGGTCATCGCGTTGCCATTGTACTCCAGGAAAATCAAAGGGTTCCAATGGTCGATCAATAGTTCCACGAATGCTGGAAGTCGGCGGTCCAGTTAAGGGTGCATTATGTGACGATGATGCCGAAGCGGATGAAGTTCCGGGTGGCAATGGCGGCGGTGGCACGTTTTGTACATTCCATTGCTGTGGAGCATAAGGTCCTCCTCGAACACTCACCTGCTGCTTATCCTTGCCCTTTCCTTTTACGGAAGGTTGCAACCGACTGTAAAGGTCTGTAAGCGGCGGCGGCTTCGGCGTGAGATTGAAATCTGTCGGCCTTGTATGTACCGGAATGCCACTGGCTGTATTGGGTGGCACTTTCGGTGGAGGAACCTTTGGAGGAGGCACCTTTGTTGGTGGGACCTTCGGAGGTGAAGGTTTTGCTGGACGTGGTTTTGAAGCCGGGGATAAGCCGGCCGATGGTGCATCATTTGGTGCAGGTGGTGGAGGTGGTGATGCTGGGGCCTCTTTCACCGGTACTGACGGTGGATTGGAAGGAGGCTTTGGGATTGACGGTTTTGCAGGAGTGGATGGTGGAGTGCGAAGTGGAGGACCCAAAAGGTCCTTAGGAATGTTGCCACGCTTAGGTGGAAGGTCTTCACGGCTGCGAGATATTGCACGGGCAACTGAACCACGTGGCGTCCCTTTTGCGGGAGCAGTGGAACCTGACGCAGAACTTGCCCTTTGCCCTTACCGGCAACATCTCCTCGCACACTGGCATCCCGTTTATGGGAGTCTCCTTTGCCTGATACTTGTCCTTGAGCAGGAGGTGCATTCATAGGGAATACCGACGAGGTATGCGTCCCTGTTACGGGAGCTGGCGGCTGAGGCACGCCTGGCGGTGGAGTCCGGTTGTCAACCCAAGTTGCAATACGACCAGATTGATCTCGGTCTTCTTTCCTCCTCCACTGCAGCCTCGGTCGTTTGTCTGCATCTCCAATAGTCTCCATATACATCTGCGATCGCTTCCGCGTCAACGGGGGCCTTGTTACAGGTCCTTGAGGAGATGGGGATCCACGCTGTCCAAACTCCAACAAAAGTTCTTCCAACCTTCTGACTTCGTCAGATGACATGTCCTGGCCACAATCGGCAAACTTGGGATAAGGCGTGGCCATGCGCTGTTCGATGTTCATGAAGCCCATCTGTGAAACTGGCTGTCCACGATCGCGTCCCTGCATATTTGCAGACTGTTGCGCGTTTCTCTGATATTGAATGTTTGCATAACTTTCATTCTGCTCTGCAAACTCACTCAAAATCTTGTAAATGCCTGTCGTGTCTCCACGAGGAATACGAATTGAATGAATATCGCCATAGACGTCCGTCGTGGGGATAAAGCCCTGGATCTTGATCTCATCTCGGCTATCGCCAATTACGGCGGCGTATTGTCGGAGTGACATAAACTCTCGGCGATAACTGATCAGAAAGTCCTCGTCGACGCCTTGCTTGAAACAGGTATGTAGGTTGTCAACACCGCATCGAATATACGCGAGCTTGGCGAGGTCAACCCTGTCCAGTCGATCCAAATCACTGACAACCGACTTCCCTTTTGATCTCTGCTTCGCTGATCTCGTGGGTGCCGGTAATTGCAGTGACGCAAACAAGTCTTCTTGCGCTGCATCAAACGCTGTGCATCCTTCTCCGGTTAAGGAGGTGGCGAAGACGTCGTCGCGGTTGAATCGATCGAATACATTCTCATACCCTGATTTCAATGCTTTGCGAAGGCGACTGCGAGCTGCAAGAATAATCTGACTGTCAACTGACGGGCTGCCACGAGCTGGAGGTCGTCCAGACTGTAGGTCCTGCGCGGCAATGCTGTCAAGCATGCTTGTTGCGGTCATGTTCTTGGGCACGCCCCCCTGCTCTTGTAGCACCTTTGCACGCCTCATCTGAAGTCGCATAAACTTTGAAATCGGTCCATCTGTTGTATTGCTCTGAAATACTACTCCGCATCGATGACAAGATGCCATTCCTGCTAAGGAAAGTGTCGTACATTTATCGCAGCTGAAAGTTCGAAGATGTAGAAAATATCCACTCTCGATCTGTGGTACAGCTGTATTGCGATTTGCCTCCATCTCTTCCTTCTTTGCGGCACTGCTGCTAGCTGTGCGTTCTTCGGGAGTGGCGTCGCTTGTACCTTCCAAAATGGTGCGTACTTCCGACACTTTTCCCGGGACCAATGTCACATCATCTTGCGGAACACCGATCTCAATGTTCGAAGGATCCAATGCCTGCGGCCTCGAATAGAAAACTTCTGGCTCCGCATTTGCGCGGGCTCGAGTTGCAAATAGAATACACGTATTCGGAACGTGATGGCTGGTAATCACCGCGCCAGAATTTGTGAGGAAAAGATCAACTCCTGCTTCAATCACATCCGGTGTTGAAAAACAAATCTCCACTGGTCGTTCAGCACGAACACCAGATATCGCCTTCTGGTTTCCCAGAGGTTGTGTTGAAAAGAAGGAATTGCCTTTGCTTTTCGGTCCACCGGCTCCACCGCCGGGAATGAGCCCGCTCGCAATAATGGATCGCGCAGCACCTTCATGCGTTCGGTGGTAAAGCCGAGGTGGTATATCGCGGTTCCCGTGCGCTGTCAAACGAGCATTGTACCTGTGTACATGGTCAGGACGGCAGTAGATTAGTACTGCTAGCACTTCATTTGATCGCGTCTCGAGAACGTCGTCAGTGTGGCCTTGTCCACATCGGATCTTGACGGGGGCGGCGAAAAGTTCGAGCTGCTCGTTCACACGAGAGTCGTACACGCATTGAAATTCGAAACGATCTTTGTTGTCATAAATAGCCATCGAAATCAACTCAAAAACATTCATAGAATCAGCATAATCAGGGAATTTGGCCTTCGCCAAATCTAGTAGTTTGTAAATTGGCAAATAACACGCCGGATCATAAATACTGACGTCTGGGACGTGTCCACGAAGAAGACCAGAAATACCGCGACGAACATGATGTGGCCAGGAGCAGCACCACTCCCAAGGCCCATGATGATAATCCTCATATACATAATAATACCTATGGCCAGTAACGTGGTACAGCACGTACTGCTTGGCGTCGCGGCCCAGCTCATCCTCGAGGAGTTGGATGTTGCCATTCCCGATGGCCTTGAGTAGGTGATCCGGGTAAGGATACCTTCCGAGAACCTCTTCAACCTCGACCTGCATATTTTTTGTACTCGGGGTTAGGCTTCGTCTCGCGAACGAGAACGCCCTTCCCTTTTCCAGAAAATTTCAAGTCGGGGTTGTCGTTGTTCTCAGGTGCAAGAAAGCTCCCCGTTACGGGAGCGACCGAAGGGGTGCCTTGTCCCTGCCCTTTGCCTCGCAATCGCGGCAATGGTGGTCTCGGGTCAGATGAAGACGCTTGACCCTCTGCGGGTTGGTCCGCGTCCGTAGGGATCATAGGAACATCTCCGGTTGCACCTTCTTCAACAGTCGTTTCATCATCAGCCAAAACATCAAGAACCTCGGCCTCGATCTTCGCCATCTGTGGATCAGGTTCTGGTGCTGTCGGCAAGGCATTTACGCCTGCGATACCAGTATCAGGCCCAGGTACTTCGTCGGTT